AATCCATGTTTTACTCAGCATTTCATTGCTGGGTGTTTTATGAAGTAAAACAGAGATTTTCCGTAAAAACGTGCAATGCGCAAACGACGCGCGCACATCTGGAGGAGGACCTTCAGGGAAAATTCATCTCTCGGTCTTCTCTCTGTGGACGGACGACGTCCACACAAGCTGCGGGCAGCCTTAGAGAGCAGAGCTGAGACCGAAGTGCGAAGCTTCAGTTCACGCAGCACTTCCAGCATCTTACTTTACGCTTTTAGATCGCTTCGTGAGTCGTTTTTTTTCCAGCTTTTGACTCCAGCGGAGCGGCTTTTGGCGCAGGGAAGCTGTGCAGTGTTGCTTCAAGTGTCCCTCCGGAGTCGACAAAAGTTTCCTGCCACGTTTTGAAGCAACGTCGGTCCTTTTTTTTCCCCCCTCCAATAATTTTATCCTCTTTTGCAACTATCGTCGTTGTGTTTTGAGGGGAGTTCGGCGTTACTTTCCAGAACTTTGAATCTCTGGGAGTAGTTTGCAGTCTCCAGAATGCTGCCGCAGCTGCTCAGCCTGGCCTGCTGTCTCTTCTGCTTGCACTCTGTCAACGCAAATGTACTAAAAGCTGAGGTAAGCGAAGCGGGAAAAAGGTGATATATTCTCTTTAAACAGTGAATTGTTATATTTACAGGTACTGAGTTTTACTTTGGGAAATTGCACTCAGTGAGATTCATGGTTTTGAATTTCTCTTAGGAAGTCTCTGCTGAGCTGCTTTGTTCTGGGGGTGGGGGGGGAGTGTGTGTGTGTGTGTGTGTGTGTGTGTGTGTGAGGAGGGGTGTAATGGGTTTCATCTGCCAGACTGTATAAACTGGAGGCCTGGAAGTTGCTCTGAATTCACAACAAAGTGAACATGATACTGTCAAAATGGAAATCTCAAACTCAGGTTTAAGACTCTGGGCTGCAGTTTGGTTCCCCTTCAATAAACCTAAATCTGCACCAATCAGGCTCTCCAGGTTTATAACGTCAACAAGTAGAAATAAAGTTAAAAAATACATTATATTGTTGTGATTGTATGTATTTTTTCAGACTCAAACATCCAAATTTTTCAGTTAGTTGTTTTTTTGTTTTTTTTTGTTTTTGTAACACTTTATTTGAAGGGATATGCATAAGACTGACACTTTTAATGCAAAGTTGTACTTAAACATACATTAAAAGTCAATTTAAAAAGTCAACTTTGCACTGAACGTGTCATTACTTACAAAATAATGCAAAGTTGGCCATTTAAATGTACTTTTAATGCAACATTTAGTACAACTTTGCATTAAAAGTGTCATTATTTTTCGAATGACACCTCATTACAACAGTCATAGCCATTCATAAAGACTTCTTTATGTTCATATCTGGGGTTATGTCAGTATTATGCACACCCCTTCAAATAAAGTTTTACCTTTTTGCACATTTTAATGCATAAATACAAAAGTTCACTGTAAATGTGCAGCTTACATGTAACTGTAGTGGCCACAAAACGGATGGATGGATGGATGGATGGATGGATGGATGGATGGATGGATGGATGGATGGATGGATGGATTGGGAAATGTGAAACTGGGTCAGCATCAGTGGAGGAGTATTTGGCAGCTGTTTCTGCAAAAATATGCAGCATTCAGCACAAATTAGACATAACATGTCATAACAATTTATCTCACAAACTAAACACTTCATTTGCTGGATATCCCCTCAATCCCTCCCCCCCCCCCAAAAAAAACAAACAAAAAAAAACACTTAATCAGTGTTACTGGACGTATTTACAAGAGGACGTGTTCCAGTTCCCGCTGGACACAGGATGCATGAAAAAGCCAACGGAGACTTTAGTCACTGACCGCAAGGTGCTGGCGTGTGAGTCAAGCCAGACGAGGCGGATAAGTCAGCCGGTTTACAAGAGGCCTGCAGCACGCACACTGACACACTGATGAATATCTGTAAACACAGCAGGGGGAAAACAACGCGGCGCAGGTGCCCTGCACCAACGCAACTCCTCTGAGGGACGATAACGCCTGAGGGAATGTGTTTTTGTTTTCGTTTTTTTTTTTTTCCTTTTCTTTTTCAAGCACCTATCAGATGAAAATGGAGTTTGTTGTTTGCAGATGCTGCTTCACTCGGTGTTGATGCAGAATGAAGACAAGCTTTAATTATGGCTTTTAGGATTACGTCATTGCACAAAACCCCTAATCAAAAGTTAGATGCGTTCCTGTTTGGGTTGGAGCGAACGACGACGGCGTAAAAATTCAGCTAAAATAAATGTTCATCTGAAGGGAAGTGATGCTCTCTTTTTTTTTTTTTTTAACTGTTTTGGAAGGAACAAATTTCTTAATTTAGACTTAAGGAGGAAAAAAATGCTGAAGCGGCAGAAAAGATGCGTGATTTATCTGTGTTTCTCAACATCAGACGTTCCTTCTTCCCACTTCATTATGACGAGCAGACGAGCTTAATCCATGCCGAGTGAAAGGAGGAGCCCCACCACGAGAGAGAGCAGGCTTTTAAGATTCTCAGAAAATAAAAAAATAAAAAAGGCTTCTCCAGCCAGCATCTGTTTTCACTCACCCCTTTTGCCTTTGTAAGCTTTCTCGACTTAAATAAAATGCTTAGTTGGAGCTGGTGAGCAAAGGAAGTGGTCAGTCGTGAAAACAACACATCTTACACGGCAGGAACTTTACTTTCTTTCTAAGAAAAAGAGATTTGAGATTTCTTATTAGCATTTGGAGACACATGTTACGACCTCAGCTTGGGATCAGAGATTTGTTTAAACCACATCTGGACCGGGTTGCTTTTATCACAACTGGTGATGTAGCATGAAAGGAAAGCTTTGCTCAGGGCCTGATGCCTGCTGATTTGACAGGCAGCTGCTGTCGCTTTGTGAAAATAATCATCTGGAGCTGGCCTAATTGGAAACCGATGCACTTCAAGGAAGAGACGTCTATCTTGGAGCTGCAAATAGGGGAACAAAACAAAAAAAAAGGTGGTCCAGCTTGGTGGTATAGGAAACATGAAAGAAATCTCTAGAAGTTCGTTTTTGGTTGATTTTTGAGCAAAAGCTGCATTCAGGGGGGTTTTGGGGTTTAGGTTCTCAGCTGGTTAGATTTGCATCAGTTGTCCAGATGTGCTGACGCAGCGTCTGGCCTAAATGAACACAAATATAATTTAATGCACAAGACGTTTATGCACAAGTGAGTCCTAATTGGAGAATAAAAAAATATCCATCAGTTGCTTCAGTTTCTAGAATAACACAATGCTTGACAAGGACAGAGAGATAAATAACATGTCAAAAAGTGAGTTCACTTGTTTAACGATAAATTATTAATTTATCTCTTAATAATCCTAGAAATTTAATTAGCAACATATGAATTTCCAAAGTCTTTATATTGCCTCTTCTTTCCACAGATTGTGGTTCTGAATCATAGTATTTAAACTAACTCGGAGCAAACTTGTTTATTGCAGAAATATAATCGTGTTTACTTACAGTAGACCTGAGTAAATTATAGAAAATTACTTTAAATCTCAGCTTGTAGAAGCAGATTGGATGGTTTCTGTTAGGAAGGTTTTCCCTTTGCTAAATAATAATTTATGTCACATTTATGTCATGATTTCACTCACTTCTTATTTCTGTTCCTTTATTAAGATTTTACTGACCAAAATAAATGGCTGACGTATCAGAAAGTTCTATTTTTGGCATTTTTTATATGACATCATAAAAACAGCCTAGAAATAAAACATAGATCATTTCAAATGAAGTTTTATGAGACCAGTACTGATATGTAAATACATATTGGCAGCATTTTTTAGCGAAAAGCTTGTTAAACATTCTAGCTGTCGGTATCAGCAGTAATGCAGTATAAGTTATTTGTATTTATTCTGTGATGATGAAATGCCATAAAGCACCTAGAGGTGAATCACACTGAGGGGAAACTCCTAAGAGCTCACATCTTGTTTTTATTTCTCCTTATTATGTCTTTTTTTTTTATTTAACCAGGAAAGACAGAGAGAAATTCAAAATCAAATTTACAAAGGAATCATGATCGAAAAAGAACCACTCACACAGCAACACACATACACACAAAGTTACACATCGTCAAATGGTGTTAAACTGCAAGCAAAACTTTAAAAGTACAGCAGTTTGTTTACAGAACAATCAAATGAATCAGCAGTCAAATCTAAGACTATTTGAATCACTTTGAATCTCCTTTAAATGCCGCTGATTTTGGAATATTTTTGAATATTTGTCAGTAGGAAGAGTTTTTGCGATGGAATATGGTGAGACTGAAGAATGTTGGATATTAGATATAAGACGTGAAGGATGGCTTTAGAAAGGAGGATATGCCAATTACTGGCACCAACAAAGCAGACCATCCAATGCTAGCATACAAAATACCAACATTTTAGGCTTGTGATGAATCCCAAACCTTTAACGTTATGAAGACGTATTCATAAAAACTACATCATTGTAAAAGAGTAAAGACATGATGATTGCAGACAGAAATCTTTTCTGTGCCTCAAAAGAAAGACGAGACTTAATTTGGGGTGAACAAAAAACTCTAAATGTAGTTTAGGTGAAAACATTTCAAACGGTGAAAACTGTTGGTAGATGTAATATTCAAAGAGTTTGAGTTGTTTTCATTTCTCCATCCATACGTCATCACTGCTCTCTACCTCCAGTAATCATTGGTTTTCCATCACATGGCAACACAGAGACACATAAACATGCAAGCAAACCTGGGAACAACTTAGAGTATTCAATTACAGTCTTTGTTGGAGGAAACCAGAAAACCCAGACGTGCACAGGGAGAACATGCTACCTCCATTAATCATAACTTAAAAAGTAAATAAAAAACCAGTAATTGCATTTCTATTTTTTAAAAAAAGTATTCCATAAAGTGAATTAAAGGGTAAATCTCTTTATGTTTAAATGCAGTATTTGTGTGAAAAGGTCAGAAACCGTTTTCTGGATGCAGCTCATTAAACTGACCTTTTGTGGTATTTTTAATGTTTCCAGTTGCGCATTATGTGGAACGAATCTCATATATATATATATATATATATATATATATATATATATATATATATATATATATATATATATATATATATATATATATATGTGTGTGTGTGTGTGTGTGTGTGTGTGTGTGTGTGTGTGTGTGTGTGTGTGTGTGTGTGTGTGTGTGTGTATATATACATATAAACTGGAAACCATGTTGGATGGTGTTGATGTGAGTGCTAACTAGCCGAACGATGCCAAGAAACGAGGGTAATATAAAAGTCGGGCACTCATGAGCTGAATTCTGTGGTTTTTTTCCACTGGCACGGAGAGAGAGGAACAACTGACTCAGTTTAAACACTAATCCCGACTCCTCCGTCTCTGTCCACTCTTCCTTAAAAAATACTTTTACTTCTGCTTCTTTCCGCTTTTAATCTGTTTTTTTTTTTTTTAATCAGCTTCTCCTTGTCTGCATGTTTTCTCGACGGCTTTTAAAAAAAAAAAAAAAAAAAAAGAAAGAAAGCTTAGAAGCCTTTAACTAATCTCTATCTCATCTCCAGTCGTATTCTTATGGTTCCTGTTCCACAAATGGCGACCT